AATTGGAAGTGGACGATGCGCAGTGCACTCGGCAGAGACAGGCTGTGTTGCCAGGGGCAACGAGGCGTTCTGAGGCGGGGGCACCACAACGGGATGCGCCGAAAGCCAGCTGAATCCAGAATGCAAGAGGGAGGCAACGGGCATCGATAATACGGCAAAACCACGGGGAGGACGAAGGAGGGCAGCGGACGGGATCATGAAGCAGGATTGGGAACGCTTCTAATGGTGGTTGTGATGATGATGGGAAGGCTGATGATGATGATGCTTACGATGATGATGCGAATGCTGAAAATGGCGATGGTGATGATGGTGCTGAGGATGACGCTGATGATGCTGATGATGAGGTACTGATGGTGGTGATGACGATGATGACGATGACGGCGGCAATGGTGATGAGGATAATGATGAAGATGACGCAGATGATTGTGATGACGCTGACGATGTCGATGATGGCGATGCTGCTGATGATGATGACGGCGATGATGACGATGACAAGGATGGTGAGGACGAGGGGGAAATTTTCTTCCGCAGCGAGACCGGCGGCGGCGGGCGATGACAACGTGATGAAGTCCGGACAGGAAAAAAGTAACATAAGGTCCTGCGTGCGAGCTCCAGAGGAAGGGGGCGGAGGGCACCACGATCAACAATTAAGCCATCGACCGCCATCTCGTGTCGCACATGGCCCCTCAGCCAAGGAGCGCAAGTGGCACGCGGCACAAGAGAGAGGGTGCCTTGCTGTACTTCATCGGAAGCCTGCGGTTGGCAGGGGATACAACAGAGGCAAGCGGAGAGCATGGCATTGCACACCCTGGCTTGCGCAGGATGGACAGAGCCCCATGCCGTCCGCAAAAGAAACTGGGGCCCTCCCTAATCCACAGACGGATTCAGAGAGAGGCAAACAGAGAGAGGCTTCCGGGGAACCTCGGGTCGACACCGCACCCCGCCCACAGGCCGGCGCCGCGCGGCAGCAGCGGTGCAGAGAGAGGCTGAGAGGCAGAGTGGCAGGCAGGAAAAAGAAGGGGCAAGCACAGAGACAGTCGAACGTTTAAAATTCTCGATGTGTCTGCAAGGTGATATGGCAGCATCTTCCGAATCTCCGCAGCGCTCGCCGCGCCTATCCATGAGACCAGGCTTCCTGAATCTTAGGGCGCCTTCTACGGTGAAGACGAATGCGGGCTTTGAAGAAGTCTTTGACAGGGAGACAAGAGCCCTCCATCACGCGCGCTTGGACAAACAAGAACCCGTCATGGAGTGAAACGCACAGCAGTCTCAAACTCGGAAACGGAGGGGGGGGGGGGGCAATGAGAGCGAAAGAGCGGGATCAAGACTCTTCGCAAAAAAAGGAAGGAGGCAAGGGGCGAGGTCTAAACTCAGTCTCCGAGGACATACAGCATAATGCCCCATAGAATCAGAAGCTCCAGGGCTCCCACAGTTCCAACAACATCGTTCAGGTCCACGGTGAAATTGGGCACTAGTGCATGCACCACGGGAGAGTACTCGTTGCAAAGCAAGACCCAGATGCAGAGAACTATCTTTAGTAATCTTGCGGATCGCCTGAATAACATCGGCAATCTGGGCAGCTGAAACACCTGGGAGCCAACGATTCACCGGCGCCCGCAGGCAACTTTTGGGGGGGCCAAGGGCGGGGCGCGCGCGAAGACGGTTGAACAGCTTCCTTTGGAATCCCTTGGCCTGCAGGAAATCCGAACAAAGATCTATGTTATCTGCCCAGGTCGAGACCAAGGTGCGAGCGAACGAGCGGTGCCACCACGGATGCCTCGCGCGAGGGTGGAAGTCGTCTTGCGTAACTAAGTCCCTGAGCAGTAGTTGCATTCTGGAGAAAGCATTGGATTGATGAGCCAGTCGGACCTGTGTAGCAATACTCACTAATTCCAGATCGAGACATTCAAGACTGAGCCCCAGGTCCCGAAGCCGAGCGCGCATAATACGGTTGAACGAGAATCGCGGGCCAGCAATGAGTTTTTGGTGCATATTCAGCTCGCATTTCCGAACAGCACGAGAGATATGGTTAGAACTGCATCGCATATCGTAGCAGCGAGACAACGACAATCACAGACGCACGAATAGTCATAGCCAGACCGAGCCGAGGACGACGCATCTCAATGGAGCGCTGGTGGTACTTCTGCAGTGCAGAATGCCACGCGTGCCGATCTCCTTCAGGCCCGATCTGAATCCCCAGGTAACGAGCGTGCCGCGCAAGCTGGATCGACGAAGCACCGGGCCCCAAAGACCCCAGGAGACGCCGTGCGCGCCGCGACGTGCGCGGTGAGCGAAGCAGCCCACATTGCACCAATGCACATTTCTTAAGAATTAGATAGAGACCAATCGCGCCATCCAAGCTCTGCAACAAAGGTAGCAAGAGGGGAAGCTCGAGAAGAACATCGCGCAGGGCAAACCAGAGATCGTCAGCGCATGCAAGGATCATTCTAGGTAAACGTGAGCTGATCCGTCGAATGCAAGGATCAAGCGCCAACGCCGA